ACAAAAGTAACCTCTCCCAGATTCCCTCATAAGCATGCTGAGCATGATGTACTTCTTACTTGCATAATCCCCAAAATAGAATAACTCTCTCCTGCACAGAAGCTAGGAGTGGGAGCCTTGATAAAGTAAGCCAGTAGCCTATGGAAGGAGTCAGGAAGGACGGTTCACTGAGGTTGCTTTGTCAGGTGCTGAACACTTAGAAGCTGTAAACACTGTCCTACCATTTGTCCTTTAAAAAAAAAAAAAGATGAAAAGGCTGTGGCTGCGACTATAACAGCTCCTTCTGTGCACTGGAGCATTCATTCAACCTCAGCATGGCCTCGCTTAGGGAGAAGAAAAAAAGGTGTGAACACCTTCCTCGGCTCTGCCTGGCTGGGTCCAAAATGAGAATCCCTCAATCCCCCCGGAGCTGCCTCCCTCGCAGGGCGCTGCTTTCCCACGAGGCGGTTCCCTGGACTCTCACTCGCCTCCCAGGCGGGCACACATCTGGCCAGCTGCTGGTCCCCGGCCTGTCTGAGCCAGATGTGCCCGCGCTGCCTCCCGCTGGGGCTGTAGGGGAGTGGGGGGGATCCCCGGCCCCGCGACTGCCTGCCTGCCCCGCTCCGCCAGGCTGGGGGCAGAGAGGGTGGCAAGGACAAGCCCGGGAACCTCTCCGGGTCCCCCCAGTGCGGGAGCCGCCCGCAGAGTTTCTTGCCCCGGGTCGGGCTGCGGGTGCGGGCGCACAGACACACACAGGGACAGACACACACAGACACACCTTGGCGCCGCAACCTCCTCTTCTTGAGGCCGAAGATGCGGACCTTGGAGAAGATATCCACCAGGTTGCCGTTGCACAGCCCCCGGTTCTTGCTGGGGCTGTTCCGCCTCCTGCTGGCCGACGGCCGGTCCCAGTGCTGCTCCCGCGCCTGCCGCTTCTGCCGGATCAAGCCGCTGGCGATGGCCGCGGCCATGGCTGCTCCTGCCTCTCACCGCCTCGGGGACAGGAGGGAGGGCAGGGGGCCGGGATGGGGGCACGGGCGGGGGGCTCAGCCCCGCCGGGCACCCATCGCCTGTCTCCGGCTCCGGCTGCACCGCATGGACCCCGCGCCGCCCCGCGCCACGCGCGGCTGGGACTGGGGCTG